AAGTAAATTGTTTATTTACATGAAGGTGGCCTAACTTCTGTTCCTCTAGCTAACTGCTTGTCCTTCAAGTTGCAAGTGAGATGTCATTTTCTCCAGGAAGCTGCCTTCAGTCCTCAGACTCTAGTTGGTGTTTTGCTTCTGTGCTCCCATGATATCACACAAAACAATGTAATTAACTGCAAGGACGGTGAGATCCCTTATGACAGAGTTCACTTTTATCTTATCCATTCAATATTCAGCATAGTGCTTAATAAATGAATATTTGTTGTATGAATGAATGAACAGATGAATGGAAGAAATTAATGAATGCATGTTCTATTGTGGTGAAATCTGTCTTTGCATGAATGGGCATATTAGAAGGTTAAGAACTCACATCAGGATATTTTTTAGCCAACAAGAGAATGAAAATATCAGACAAGCAGACAGAAAAGGATGGACAATATTTGAGGCAGTCACAAAGACAGCAGAAGCGATAGCTGTCTGCTAAGTATAAAAGGAATCAAGTCGCATGAAAAACAGATATCCAAGAATATTGGCTCATAGAAAAAAATCATAATTATGATCCTGAATGATAAAAAAATATATAAATCAGACCTAGGCAGTTGTAGAAGTAGAGAATATATGGTGTAATATATGACTGTTTTTTTTTTTTTTTTTTTTTTTACCTTAAAGAGACCAGCCCCAGTATTTCAGTCTTTTAAAGAATAATTTTCATCATTGGAAAATTTCACTCATGTTTTTCCCTCCCTGTCAAAGTCTAATGTGTGATATCACTGTTAGACAACCCCTGATCTCCAAACGGAATGTGTTCAAGTGTTTCATTGTTGATCTGATCGTATGGAATGAAACACACAGTTTTTCATATGAGTCTTGTCATATATAATGTTTACCTTCTTAAACCAACAAAAAAATACAATCATACTCATGATCACTTGTCTATAGAACCATCTGTGCTTTTAACCCCCAAACCCGTTAAAGCTAACAATTTGTCCATAGGAAAATAATCTGCCTCATTCTGTGTTCTGTATTAAACCCCAAAGATATAGCAATCAGTGCATTCTTAGTAGTAGGGGATAGAACTATTCTTCCTCATTTCAATCTGCTGGGTGATAGGAGCAAGAACTTTAATGGGACTGTAAATATTGTAGGGGCTCTGACTTTGGGGTTACCTTGGTCAGGGAAGTACAGGTGGTAAAAAGTAGGATAAGCTGTCAGTGGGACTTTGTCTTCTCAAGGTGGCAAAAATCCCTAAGACTAGAAGTAGTGAAAGGAGTGAAATTTTGGAGGGTAGAAATGGAGGTAAGGCCTAGCTGATGCCATAGTTCGTGTATAAAAGATGTTCAGTTGTAAAGACACTTAGAATTCAGGGATCTATATTACTAAAGCTGAAAAAATTAGTTTGACTGAGACTTCAGATGAAATGTTTTATTTCAAATAAAACTCCATTTCTGGCTTACGATTTTGCAGATATTTGTGGAAGCTTAAATCCAAATAATAAACTTTGCCAAGAACAGTTTCTTTATGTTGATTGAGCCATGGAAAACCTCACATTCTCATAGTTAGCTAGGATTCTAAACACCTGTGAAAATTGATAGCATGTTTACCATCCCTGATTATACCAAATTCTCCTTTTAAATTAAAAATATGTAGAGAATATTATAAAAATGTTATGTTATGGCATATAATTATCTCTCTTCCTGAACCTTCTCCAATCGCCCCATCCCACACTGCTCTTAGATTGATGTTCCAAATAAGTAATATGTTTATTACTACCTAGTCAAGGTGTTCTATAATATAGCCCCATTTTAATGATCAAATCTTATCTCCTACTAAAGCTGGACAAGAATTCTGCGCTTGCTTACATTGGATTTCTTTCTGTTCCATGAATAGTACATACCATTTTACTTTCTTACTCGGGTTTAGCTGGTACTGAAGTCTTACCTTTGTCTTCTTCCTAAAAATTCTTCTTGTTATATAGGGTTGTAATCAATTTTCAAAAAACCTGCCAATTGTTCTTGCACACAACCTGTGTTTCCTTCTTTATCTCTGTACCATACATATTGGCATTTAATTATCTAGCATTTGTAGTGACTTCTAATGGTTTATAATGTGAACTCTATTTTCTCAACTCTATTAGAACTTTGTCATATAAAGTATGTTTTCTATGTCAGACACTAAATTATACCAGAATACTTAATTTTAATGCTCCCCTTTGACTAATTAAGATAGATTTTTAGGTGTGTTAACGTTGCTCTGGAACTGCTGAGACCTTTACATACTGCTAGTCTCACAAATGGCGTGGCAACCCAAGAGGCATACTTTAACCTAATTTTTAGCACAAATATTACACAAAAGATAATGGGTTTCATGCATTTAAAAAACCATCCAAAAACGAGTAAATATTCTCCCCATGAGAGCATAATGAATTATCATGTAATGGCCTAAAATATTTATTAGTTGAGTTCAACTGCATTTGTGGTTTTTGCAGCTCTCTTATTTGAATAACTAAGAGAACTTGTCCATGAGGCATAGATAATTCCAAAGACGTTAATAAATATACCTGAATCAAGGAGCTTCAACATTAGTGCATTTGCCTTTCTGGAGCTTCTGCCTCCCATACTTCGAATGTATCAGAACTTAAAACAGGGTTCCATGCTTGTGTTCTCAGTTGTGCTATCATTCAGTTTAAACCTAGAAACTTTAGTGAAGGATTGTAGGGTAACTGACAGAGGTGCAAAAAACAAACTTTTACCACAGTTGGGGTCAGGAGAGGGGACTTCGTGTTTAAACAACTAAAGAGCTGAGCTTCAGAATTATTATTCTAACCTGGGTATTTTATATTCAAAAGGATGACTACTTCTCCCAATGATTGCCTACTATCCTCATATCTCACTTTTGGTTACATTTCATAATTTAGCTATTCATATGCTTTAAGAGAGAATTGAATTAGGTGAAACTGGAGAAATGTCCAGGTTTTATTTCAGTAACTCATTGACAAAGGAAAGCAGGAGTGTTTTGTGAGTATATCCTCTATGTGTATGCACACATGCATGCATATGAATGCAAATAGGAATAAAAACTATGCTGATTCCATTTACTTTACCTGTAATATCTGACAGATTTCTGTAATTTTACATGAGGGAGTCATTTAGCTATGTGTGTGATGGGGGTAGTTTTCCTCCAAGTTCAAGTTGAAGTGGTAAATTTTTGGATATCACTAAATTTTTTATTATACTTTAAGTTCTGGGGTACATGTGCAGATCGTGCAGGATTGCTACATAGGTATACACGTGCCATGGTGTTTTGCTGCCTCCATGCCCCTGTCACCTACATTAGGTATTGCTCCTAATGTTATCCCTCCCTAATCTCCCCACCCCCTGTTATCTCTCCCCAGCCCTCAGCCCCCAACAGACCCCAGTGTGTGATGTTCCCCTCCCTGTGTCCACGTGTTCTCATCGTTCAACACACACTTATGAGTGAGAACATGTGGTGTTTGGATTTCTGATACCATCTCATGCCAGTTAGAATGGTGAGTATTAAAAAACCTGGAGACAACAGATGCTGGAGAGGATGTGGAGAAGGTGGGAGTGTAAATATGTTCAACCATTGTGGAAGACAGTGTGGCGATTCCTCAAGGATCTAGAAATAGAAATACCATTTGACTCAGCAATCCCATTACTGCGTATATACACAAAGGACTATAAATCATTCTGTTATAATGACACATGCACACATATGTTCATTGCGGCACTGTTTACAGTAACAAGGACTTGGAACCAACCCAAATGCCCATCAATGATAGACTGGATAAAGAAGATGTGGCACATATACACCATGGAATTCTATGCAGCCATAAAAAGGGATGGGTCCATGTCCTTTGCAGGGACATGGATGAATCTGGAAACCATCATTCTCAGTGAATATCACTTTTGATCTTTATACTGCTGACAAAAGAAGCAGCTCCTTAGCACTACAATTCTTCAAATAGTAATTGTTTGCCTCCTTTTTATACATTATACATATCATGATCTTTAAAGTCCCTCCCACTCACTCCTTAATCTTATATTCTATTTTAAATTGTTTTTAGAACATCATCCACATCGACATCTCTAAGCAAGAAGGCACAATGCTAGTGTTTGCTGGGGGAGAGAGGCCTTTATAAAGAATTACATAGGGGTTCAGTTATATCTTAATAGCATTATACGTGAATGGCATACAACGGAAAGAACAGTAACAGCTGTATCTGGCAAAAAGGTTAGTCGACTTGTAAAGTATGGGAAGACACTCAGACTAGGATTGTAATTATAGATGACAGTGTCATGACTATGTCTCATGGTGGGAGCAGCTGTGATCTCTCACCAGTACTCCATGAGTCATACATTTAAGGAAGTCAGAGACCCTAGAATTTGTATGAAGCTGATCCAACTCCTACAGCCATATTCCCAGGATGAACATAAACCGTATTTTCTCCAAAGAGAGTGCAAAGGAAAATAATGTAAAGTGGATCCTCCCAACCCCAGGAGGAAAACATTTGCTGAGAAAGAATTGATATACGGTGAAACCAGTGTCCAGCAATGACGGAATTCCTATCCTTGACCCAGATCCTTTTCTTAAGGCGACGGTTCTTATGTTGTTGGAGGAGGGAGGTGGTTATGAGGAGGAGGATGTAGAAGGGTTGGCAAGGGGTAGCATTGACACGGCAAGCAATCCTACCCCAGTAAACTGGAAGGTATTGGGTGGGCCTCACTCCCAATATTTTTCTGTTTCAGTCTTTTCTGATGGGTCAAATAAGTGGGCTTTTGGACCTGCTAAAACAGATGAACTGAAATGAGATGTGTGTTCATATTTGGTTGAACATAACAAAATTAGAGGAAGATTTGCAAACATATTCCTAGTTCCTGTATTTTGATTTGCACTGACTCTACTATATATTTCAAATGACTGCACTTGGCAATTTCATAAACAAATAAATAAATAAAAATGCTCAGTGACAATGAGTCAAAGTCAAAACGTTTTTATTTAAGCTGAAGTTTAGCAAGTACATTTTTAACAAAGAAGGTGTACTTTAACGTAATGTATAGTAGAACAGGGAAACCATACATATAAGTTTCTAGTCTCTAACACACTACTGCATTTTTTTCATTTAAAAGACAAAAAGCCAACTTGAAATGAGCATAGAAAAGCATCAGATATGATCAAGTTACTTTAGCCATTAGGATTTAGCTCATATCTTCAAAGTGGTCAATCTAATGCAAGGACAAAGTTTACATCATTGCTTTTAAAATGTACAACTGTTCCTTTCTTTTTAACGTAACATACATTAAATAGCTGCTTCAGTAAACAAAGCTTTGCTGATAAACACAATTGAAATAACTCCATGTTGAATAGTTTCAGAGATAAACTGGAATCACAAGCATCTTCATTTATGTAAAGCCAGCGAGGACCTTTCAGGCTGAATAAAACTGTTGTGCCATTTCTAAACAGTAATAGTTACCTCCTTTAAAAAAAAGAAAACAAGTTAGTTCTTATGAAGAATAATTCTGATATGTGCTTACAAATATTAAATATCTATTTTCAGGAACCAAAAATTATCTGATATAACAGGCTCAATTTAGTGTTGGTAAAACTTAACATTTCTTAACATTTCTATATTTCCATGTTTCAGTTTTCAAAGATCCTTCAAATTTCATGCTATAGCTTCTGTTCTTCTTTCCACAGCACTGGAGACATTGAAGACTGATAAAGCCTCTTCATGAACTATATTATAGTATCTGTAATAATCTATGTTATTTTTTCTTTCCGTATATAGCGGTGCATCTGAAATCCCATCCCTATGGTCTACCAAAATAGGGGGAAAAGCGTATCTGGTTATGATTTAAGATAATAACAGCTTTTGTCCATTTAGAATTTCCTCTTCCCAAGTTGACCCTGAGACTGTGTATACTGCATGAAGGGAGACTAGTTCTGATTATCATTTTAGCTACAGTGTTTTGTCAAACTGGCATCCCTCTAAATGATGATATTAAAAGAGCCCATGCCGTCCTAGAGCTAGATAATATTTACTTTGGGATCATTTAAGTTATTGCTGGACATTTTTTTTATAAAAAAATCTATTTGACTTCTTTTTGTCAAACCTTGCTATTTTCCTTAACAATGGCTTATAACCCGAGTCTTTATCTAGATGCATCACAAAGATTGGCTTTTGGTTACAAAGTAGGAAAAGAAATGTGGATGAATCAGTACAAATCCATTACTTGTGCTTGAGAAATACTTGAAGTCCGTGTTTCTGAGTCAAGTGTTTTATTTTTACTTATCATGGAGAGTACATTAGTATTGTTGGACTAATATGCCTAATCTAAAATATTAAGTCAATCTGGTCAAAGCTTGTTAAGAGGAAAGTATACCCTTTTTTAACCTTGTGTATAATATCTTTAAAATCTGTATCTTTCTGTGTATAAGGTATCATGGTGAGTAGTGAAATTTTCTAGATAATATATCAGAACCGAAAATAAAGATGCAGTAAGGTAACAGAAGAATAAAATATTTGGAATCTGGGTTACTCAGACTCATGGAGGGTTGGCCTTCATCAGAGGGCAACCAGACATTTTCCAAAGGAGCCCATGGAATTCACCTCAACTTTTCCAGGGACCAGAAGAAAACCAAGCCTGAATTTTTGGACACTGGTAATTGTTCCAACTCCTTAGTGGAGTCTGAGAACATTTACTCTGATGAATTGACCAAATATTTCCTCAGTCCTCCAGTCTACCTCATCCTTTGTTTACACAGCCTAAATATCAAAGGAAAGCTCTTCAACATGAAACGACAGTCATTTTACCAAGATTGAAATTTATACAATACAGCTAAAGCTTAAATCATGCAACACAAGTTGTGAACATTACAAAGTGGAAAGCAACGGCAAAAACACGCTATACCCCCTTAAAAAGGGTACATGAACTCAGCAATGACTAGCAAAAGACAATCACAATTTGTCCTTTAGAAAAATGCAGTTTTGGAAAATTTTCTACTTTTGTTATGTTTAATTCTTGCCTGTATTAAGAGGCAGAAATATTTGCCCACATCCTTCTTTATGTGTCTGCTTACAAGGCCTATTAGTAATAGGTTCCACAGCTGCTCAAAAATTGAAAGAAAAAGTAGGCTAGCAAAAAGAAAACAATATTAAGTGATCAACTTTTCTACCCGGAATACAATAAATTGAGATTTCATAGCAGTAAAACTTTTTCTCCCAATTTTGAGGACAGTAGCAGAATAGACCCCTGTGTAGCATGCTGTATAATGTTGACATATATTTGGTTACGGTTTTATATGTGCCAATACTGAATGATCATAAGGAAGACGCCAGTAATGAACAGCTAACTGACACTGATCCTTGGAGCAATCTCAAAGTTTGCCACATTTCAATTTCAAAATGCATTTCAGCTACAACATGAGTGATTTATCACTTAGTAGTAGCTGTCAAAGTAATCTCCTAGATAAACCAAAAACATCTGGAACCATAAACAGAGAAGAGTAGTAGCTGAATTTTAATCCAGACCCAGTGTGCTGACTTCATTAGGGACAGGAAACAGCTAATTAGTAATGGAATGTTTCATGTTTTTAAAAGGGCTTGTTGGTGAGCTCCAAACAGAGCTGATCTGATATGACTCTGGATGCCAGTAAGATTAAAGATCAGGGAGAGAAACTAACAAGTCTCTCCAGGGGAATGTTAGGGAGTTTGAAAACTTGAAAAGAGAGACACTCACTGACATCTGGGGAGAGCTGACAGAGTTTATTGCTTTGGGATTTATCAGATAGGTAAAAAGGGGAATTTGATACATACAAATGCGACCGTTTTTAAGGAAAAAACACAGGCCCATGCAGTCCTTCCCTTAGCACAGCATTGCCTGACATGGGCATATGCCATGGCACAGAAGGTCAGTGTGGACACTCTATAGAGGAGAGGAACGTCTCCTAATCAGTTGAGTTATCTTTACTGGGCCACAACTAGCTGCTCCAAACTCAAGTCAATTGAGACTTGCCCTCTGTGGTATATATCTTAAGCCGATGAGCCAGAATAGCTAAACTCATGCGTCATAAACAAGGCAGACATACGGGAAAAGGCCAGAAAAAAATACACATAAAGTGTCCTCATAGTTCAAACAAAGTAAGTTAAACATATCTATTTATTTTTTAAAAAGACACTAGTTTAAGTGACTTAGTTAATTTGGAAATTCTACTTAATGTCCTATGTATTCCAATATACGTTATTTGACTACATAATGATGAGACTTTCTTGGATATTGTATTTTTAGGGATATTGTATTTTAGGATATAACTCTCATTGTTATTTATTTCAGATATTTAATATTAATAAAAGTTTTGATTCGACTTGCCTCGATCCTTCTCCATGACTTATTTCTAATTTGGCATTGTGTCACTGAATTGAGCTAAACAGTACACCTACTCTATATAAGCAGACATTCTACAGACCATGAAGAATATCAGAATCCAAATGCCTATGCTTTAGAGCACATTCCTTCAGAGCATGGAAGTACTGAAATGTCACATCGATATGAATTAATGTAATATTTTAAAGTGTTTAGAGTGGGTGGCCATTCTACCAGAAATTGCATGTGCTACCATGGGGAACCTCTTATTAGAAAATGGATAAAATCTCAGTTGGTTTTTTGCATAAGATGTGTGGTGCTTCTGGCACATCAGAACTTAATGCTAGGGCAGACGTAAAAACAACACAGTGGATTAGATTTTGCTTGGTGTAAGGAGGGCACTTTAGAAGGGTCATTAAATCTTTTTGATCATTAGAGTACCATATAACACCTTGAAATGTTGCCCTATTAGATTTTTAGTAGGCATCAAAATGACGATAACAGGTATCTACCCCCAGACAATGGCCAGATCTCCACTAAGTAAACTGTTAAAAATATTTGAGGCCATTTCCTGGGCAATTCAAGCCAAATGACCCATTTGTTCCAAGTCATTTGAACATGTTAGGAATCTGGCTATGCCCAGACCAGAGAGTGAACAGTGTAAAATATCGATAATGTGACTGACTCATCTGTCTTTCTCTTTTCTTATGCCTACATATTTTTCATTCTGTTTGCTTGTTAATAGAATAAAGAGGAAGCAAGATTGGGGATGGGAGGAGAGAAGAAAACAGTAAAGGGATTATTTTTAGTAGCTTGGGTATCTGTTTTTATCATTGCGTTCTTTACAAGTAAGAAATGTGCTGGTAGAAAGGGGTTAAATGACTTGCTCCACTCTCAACAGTTCAAAGGAAAAACTGGGTGTGGTAAAACCAAAAAACTAGAGCTCCCTATATTTTCTTAGATAACACTACAGACCAAGTGTTTCTTTTAGAAATGAGAGCTCCAAAGCAGTGATAACAAATATCGATCGTTTGCACAAATAATTTACCATTGATATAATTCCTGTTAAATACCAGGTCAAACAAGAAGTTATTTCATAGTAATTGCAGCTTAAAGTAGGTGTGTCTGCATTTTAATTTGTCTCACACCATTTAGAAATAGCATTTTCTCTGTCTTAAAAATTCTTCCACCTACTTACCCCACTAGGATTCTGTGTGAATTAATGTGATACTGTTTTTGAAGCACTATGAACTCCTTGAAAGAAAGAGGTTAAAGAAGTGGAAAATATATTCAGTCATTGTTATGACTATCCCCTAAAAACCTGTGAAATCCATTCTCTAGGATTTTTCCTGTATGTGTAAGGTTCTATTTATCAGTAATGAACACACAGTAATTAAAGGTTCCATATTTTAAGAATGTGAGTATGAATTCTAAAGAATTTACAACACTAGATAAACAGGTAACTGCTACAGCACCCTATTCGTGCCTATGATCAGATGGAGTTCCGGCATCAGTGTTCAGGCTGCACAGAAAAAACAATAAGACCTGGTCAAAATTTCATTCCAACAAAGAAAATTCAAAATCTACTCAATGCACTTCACTGAAAAACCACAAACTCACTTTATAGTATTTCACTGTGCTATATATGTTCAAGATTTGAGGAAATCTCTCTGCAATTAATGTATTATTTTATTAGGTTTATCCCTTAATTAAATATTCATTTATATGCATCTCATTTTATTAAAAATGAAATTATACAAAGGTGAGCAAAACAATAGATTTGCAGTAGTTTAAAGCTTAATCTTATTCTCTAGGGGTGATATTGACAATATAAATATGGCATAAATGATATTCCCTAACTCCAAAATATACTTATGAGCCCCTGGTGCATGTTCTTTTGCTTTACAACCTGCAGCAAAATGCATAACTAGCTTAATAAGCAAGGCATTTAGGAATTGTTTTTTCCTCCACAGTCTAAAACATGAGTAAAGACCTATACTGTTTTTTGTGAGTAAAATGTTTGCTAATGACTGTAATGTTCCCTCAGTATGATATTTCCTTCCCTGACAGGATGGTTATTTGAAAGTAATTGCTCACTTTTTATTTTTCAAAAAAACTACCAAGAACTGTGTCTATAATGTGATTAGAAGTTTATATTTACAATACAATGCATTCGTGATATTTCCTACCCAAGATTCATGTTTGTTTCCAAGTGTCTCCTCACCACTTGTTTACCTCTGTAAACAATGGGACTGCAATATGAACTAATAGAATTCACACAGGTATACTAAAGGCTATCAAATCTTTCTTTTGAGGCAGCTAAGCTACACTTGAACCAATGGCAATATTTTGTAATGAGTTCTCCAGCTAAGAAGTAAGTTCTATGTTTTCTTCGTGTTGCTTAATTAGTGCTGTACTTCTGATTTACGAATAGGCACTATATTGTTTAGCAGCAAATAAGATGAGCTCTTGAAGGTCATGTTTTCCTAGCCTGAATAAGATAGAGATATAATAATATGCTAGTTAATGCTCCCCTTGTTTTCCACTTCAACCTTAGATTCAATCCTAATTAAATGTAGAATTAATTGTAGAAACTCAGCTTTAGTTGTGGAAATATGGTCAGCACATGATGTTCTCAAATCAAAGAAGTGGCAGTAGTGAGGGTAGTTTGGGGTCCAGTGGGTTATTATTGCAGTAGTATAAATATGAGTTCCTAATTTAAAAGTAGAAAAAGCAGACAATTGTAAGCAAGGGGAAGATATAATATAATGTTTGATTACTGTTTGTCTAGAGAGGAGCACTACTTTGGAGTCGCTTTTTTCAGAAGATTCTGGTGCTTAGTTTAGAACATGGCATATTTTTTAAAAACAGAGGTTTCATGAAAATAGTAACCATCTGGGCCCATTAGTCCTAAAAAATATCTGACTTACAATTTAATCAACACGAAGACCAGGATAGGTCAATAGGTCATTTTTTGGTGTGCAAATGGTATCATTATGGAGTATCAAACTCTCTTATTCACTTGTAACTCACCCTGGTTTTGTGAAATAATTATTTAATACACCCCTTCCCCTTTATTGAATCTCTAGTTCTTAGAAAATATACCCTAAAAAGGAAGTATAAATGCCCTATTGCTCACACATGGGGATAAAACGTAGAGATATAGTTACCATAACTCTCTATGGGAGAGCACATTTTTTAGAGGAAGTTTTATGCTCACTTATAGACCAAAGAGTTTGCTCCTACTGAAATCAACATTAGTGAACACAAAATCAAATTTGTGTGTATTTTATAGGGCACAGTAATAATGATATCTTGTACTTGTCATATTTATCGGGTAGTATGTATCTAACTTATTGATGAGGAAGATTAGGCAATATTATAGCTATTTTACTAAAATTAAAGCAGACAGAAGTTAAATGATTTCTCAAGGTTAGTAACTGAGGTAGCGAGTTAGTAACGAGAAATTCTGCTCTTTTTTCCACTTCATTGTGCCTCTCACATACTGGTTATAAAATGGTAATAGAAGTGCACGTGTCCAGTACAGAGATCTGCAGCTGTTGAGTCACATGAAGAGCTTTAGAAGTACTTGAATGCTATTTTTCATCTAAGAAGAGAGGAAGGGAGAGGATAATAAATGAAAGCTAATGTGTACGGAACACCATGTCAGGAGCCACTCCACGTGTACATATGGCACATGTGGAATGCCAGCTTCTTTCATTATTTTCTTGTTGTGGATAATGCTACAGTGAAAAGGGCTGATTATGTTTCTATGCCATTTTTCTAAATGATCTGAAATCAAGTCCCCCACTTTTCATAAGCATAAAAGTTATAAAATGTTTCTTCTTCTTCTTTTATTTTTTTTCTGAGACAGAATCTTGCTCCATCGCCCAGGCTGGAGTGCAATGGCACCATCTCGGCTAATTGCAACCTCCCCCCACCTGGTTCAAGTGATTCTCCTGCCTCAACCTCCCAAGTAGCTGGGACTACAGGCGTGCACCACCACACCCGACTACTTTTTGTATTTTTAGTAGAGATGGGATTTCACCAGGTTAGCCAGGCTGGCCTTGAACTCCTGACCTCAGGCAATCCACCTGCCTCGGCCTCCCAAAGTGCTGGGATTACAGATGTGAGCCACTGCCACAAAATGTTTCTTAACGGTCTAACTGATTTTTGTATAGGATGCATATTGGAAATATTTTAAGGTAACGTTTTAAAGTATAATTAAGTTCTCTTTTTAAATAACTTTTAACTGCTACATTTGCCTGCTAAACTTATAGAAGAACATTATAACAGTTGATGTTAAATAAATCAAACTATGGAGGAAAGTGAAAAATGGAAGCAATGAATAAATAAATGTTAATTTGTACAATGTTAAAAATGACGACATCCAACATTTCCCATAAAAGGTTGAAAGGCAGTTACCAGGAAATTGTAACATTTGAGGATTTATTCGTTCTCTTCATTGAAGATTTTTCCCCACTCATTATTAAATGGTTGCTCACAGATGCTGAGATCAACATTGCATTTATTCATTTTTGTTATTTTAATGAAAACAAGAGCAATTAGACATTTGTGAAAGCACAGGAAGATAGGAAAGAAATGTTTGTAAAATAATGACGCACTGGGGGCAGTTGGGGGGGTTGGGGAGAGACAGTGGGGATTGGGGAGGGAGGGGTAGGTGGGGAGGAATAACATGGGGAGAAATGCCAGATTATAGTATGCACCTAAAGTAAAATAAATAAATTTAAATAAAATAGTGATGCTTTCTTGAAAGCTAATAAATTGGTGGATATGTTGCTCCAATAATCAATTGCATTACTGAAAAAAATGTAGATTCTAGCTGAAGTATGTGGATCATTACCAATGTTAATTTCCAAATATTAAACATCAATAACATTACAATGTTAATTTTCAAATATCAAATATTAAAAAATGCAAAATGTAAACTTGAAAGGATCAACAAGTTAGGGGCCTTAAAGGAGGTGTGTATAAAATCCAAAAGAACGTTTTTCTTTAAATTCACTTTAATTTCCAAAAGGTAATATTACATGGCTATTATAAATGAAAAAGAAGTTCCCTAGAGCAAATAAATAAAATGTTTTGCTAATGCCACAGAAGGAATCCCAGTCTAAAGTTAGTTAAGTGGCCGGGTGCGGTGGCTCATGCCTGTAATCTCAGCATTTTGAGAGGCTGAGGCAGGTGGATCACCTGAGGTCAGGAGGCCGAGACCAGACTGAACAACATGGTGAAACTCTATCTCTACTAAAAGTTCAAAATTAGCCAGATGTGGTGGCCCATGCCCGTAATCCCAGCTACTTGAGAGGCTGAGGCAGGAGAATTGCTTGAACTTGAGAGGTAGAGGTTGTTGCAGTGAACCAAGATCAGGCCACTGCACTCCAGCCTAGGTAACAAGAGTGAAACTCCATCTCAATAAAATAAAATAAAATATAAAATAAAGTTACATGAGATAAGTGAAGCTCTGTTGGACTCTAGCTCTAACAGACAGAACAAAGTGAGTTTAGTCACGAATAAAAAAGTTTATTTCTGTTACTATTTCAGCTGCTCCACACAGTTTTAAATAGAAAAGGGAGTTGTATGATATTTGTCTAAATTTTATAAATATTACCCCAATCTCTTACAAACTTTTAAGGCAGAGGTGATTAATTTAATAATCACCTCTGCCTTAAAAATAAATAGTCTGGTTTCGACTATTTTGATTAATTGACTATGAAGTAGAGAAGCCTCTGCCCTTTCCCTGAACCCCCATGCACTGTTTTGCATGGGATAATACTATAGTCTTGTTACATATCCTAACTAGCTAGCTATGTGAGATTTTTATAGGAATGGATTGATTGTGATGCATAGTGAGATAAATGAGTGAGGAAGTTAAGAGTTCTGTATATTCGCTCCCAGTGTCAGTGACAAGCAAATTAACTTAGGTTATCTCCATACTTATAAAATAGAGGTTAATCACACCTTCCCAAACTACCTCTCAGAAATAATCCTCTGAGAGAATGTTATGTGAAGGATGGCACAAAGCACACCATGCTATACATATAATAAGTCGTGGCTTTCTTTTTTTACTATTCCAATTTTAGGCTATGAATTCCTCATTCTTAGAATGATGAGTATCTTGGAACAGAACCACCACAGATTCATGTGGCAGCAATATAATTATTCTAATTTTTTAGGTACTATGAAAATGATGGCATATGATTACAGTCTTCTATTAAAATGCCGTTTGTTTTAGTTTTTAAAACACAAATGTAGAAGTAAAAAATAAAACTTGACTTAATCTTTTAATCAGGAAAATGTTTTTCCTTTTGCATGTTCTTCAGGTATACCTAGGTTGGGGTTGATGTATGATGAATCTCAAGCTTAAAAAACTGTATTGTATATGTAAAGAGGATGTGGCGTAAAGTAACTGGTCAAGCAGTTATCAGAATTAATTTGAACAGCCCTTCCTAGATTATAGTAAAAAAACACCTGTGAATTAGTGAATTACTCCTGTAGACTCAA